TTTGTGTACTATTAAAGCCACTCTGCCATAAGAGTTCGCCCTATCAAGTCTAAATACATTATATTCTCTAAAGTTAAGTGTTATATCAGGATTCAACCATGTTTCCGAGAACGTGGCGATATGAATTTTCTCCTGGCACAAGAGTTGTTTAAATTCCGCACACTTTGATTTAATACTTTGAGCATTCCATTGCAAAACGTTAAGGCTGACTTTACCTATTATTACCCAGTAAATTTTGTAAAAAAGACAAGTTCGAGATATTTTTAAATATCCATGTGATTATCCGTTCAAAAAATAAGTGCACTACATTCTCAATTCTACTTTTTAAAGGCTCATTACTCTCATTAGAGATAAAACTTTTAAGTTAGCTTAATAAATTAAAGAAAGGAATATCAGATTGTACATTACGATTCTTTTTTTTTGTTTTGTTCAGACACTGGTTGATACACTACTTTCAGACTCTGTCGACATATTGCCGTCATGTATATACTTACTCTTCTAAATTAGGTTCTTGAATTCTCTTCTTAATCTTCTTAGTTGTGTCATATCGCACAGATTTTTCTCCCCCGACTGTCCAGTGTGTTCTTGTTAATGGGGCTCGATGACACGGCCTGTGCGTAAGTAACTGGTGTAGAATTCTCCTGAACCGGCAAAATAGAGCTAAAAAACTTATTTGTGGTTCCTGGGATAGGTTCCGGCAATTGAGGCATCTTATTTAAATGACCTAAACGGGGCATTGGCGATTGAGTTGGCACATAAGTAGGTGTTTCGGGCGGTACATACATTGCCATAGCCTTCCTGTATGAAACATTAAATTCAGCCATTATTTCCCGTAACTTCTTCTCCTTTATATATTTTGGACACTGACGATTCAATGCCATGTGATTTTTCGTACAATTAATACACTTAAATATTGTTGTTTCGCAATTTTCGTGCTTACCTCCACATTTGGGGCAGTATATACGTTTTGAAGGACACATTCTAAGAGTGTGCCCAAAGCGCCAGCATCTCGAACACTGAGAGACATGAAATAGGTATGGCTCCACCTTAACTCATGCATGCATAAGCATGTCATATATGCACAGATACGATGGTGACGTAGACCCTATGAAACCAACTCGTACCGATTCACTTTCAGTCCAGCCAGATTCTCCATCCCCCTGCTTTCTGTGTTTGAGTCGTTTCACGTTGGCCACCTCAATTGAGCAAGAAATAGATTCCAACAGTTCTTTTTCTAATAGATCTAATTCGATGTTCTTAATTACACCATAAGAGAGTCCTACTTCAAATGGTCGCTGAAACCTCCAGCCTAATTCCACAAGATGATCACACTGTATCAATAAATCAGCATATTTTTCTCCGTATAGTTCTACAATTATTTTGTATGTATTGATATATTTTACTTGCACAATGTTTAGATTCTGATTTTTAAATAACTTGGCAAGGGCAAACTTCTCTTTAGACGTTATAAATATTTCAATACTACCTCTTATTTCTTTCGATTTCTCTTTTCTGCTTTTCACTTCTTCCCAGTCTCCTTCTTGCTCACATCCTCTAGCTTTTTTTTGTTCGATTTAAAGGTCAGAAGGCGAAGTATTCCTACCTCTTTTGCCCAATATTTGGCTAGATTCGTAGTTTATATGCTCTTCCAAAAGATCAGACATTTCCTCTAGTATTGGTTCTTCCCCCGCTGACTCAGTAGAAAGAAGATCAGCCTCCATTATTGTTTAACTGAACGGCCGGCCCCGCTTGGCCAAGCCGTAAACGCAGGTAAAAAAATCCTAAGCTGATAATAACCATGCGCGCAACGATACACGTACGAACGGCTCGTGCGCCACTTCGCCACTGACTATAATATTAATAGGATATTATAAACGCGAAAGTTTGTAAGTATGGATGGATGGATGTTTGTTACTCTTTCACGTAAAAACTACTGAATGGATTTTAATGAAACTACAATAATTAATAAATTTATAAACATATTGTGTGAACTGTCCAAATTATGACGATAAGTGTCAAGTAAGTAGGAAAAAATCTACCAACTTCGAGCTTTTCTAGCGTGCGCTGATCTATGGTGTGCTGCCAAAACCGCTAGAATTACACAGCTATAGCCCGTTCACCGTAAAATGTCCCTTGCTGTGATGTTGGCACTATCGCTTGTCAATCTGTTGTCAGTTTGTGATTATAACGCTCGTTTTTGTGTTATTATTTAAAATATTCCGAATTAATTATGCCGAAACCATTTAGAAGCAGTGCAAGAGAGGTTGTGTTGAAGGTGCGTGCCTTTTATGAGATAGAAAAGGCAAACCAAGCCCCGTTAATTCCACTCAATCAAGTGCGAACTCGCGTCGCCGTCATGACAGGTTAGTAAAATAGGGGTGCCAGCTTCATGCAAAATGCCTTTAGTATGGGTAATAATAAGAAATTACTAACATTACGAATTAAAATAAAAAGTACGTATCTCAGTTAATTTAATTTATTTTTTTATGATAACTGACGTCCCTAATTAGGGGCCACACCCACCCTTCATTCAGGGCCCTGATTCAGGGTAGTGTAATAGGGGTATCAGAATATACTAGTTAAGGAGTGTAGAGATAAGGAGAACAAACTCTGTATATAAAAGTGTCCGTGGAAAAGTGCTAAATAAGGGTGGCGCCACTGTAGCTACAGTGTAAATTTTAAAGAACTTTTTATGATTTTTTATTGCACAGACTCACCATAATTCTTTAATAATAATTCTTTTTATAATTTTTATTTTACCATTTTTCATACCCTGTAGCTACTCGAGCGATGTTGTGGAGAGTTTTTTTGACTGTTTACTACTTACACATGGACATATTTTTAACTATTCTCCTTTGGGAGATTGTCCTCTTTACCTCTATACTCCATGATACTGGCGTAATGTAGACACAGATTACCTTTGTATAAACTGAAAAAAAAAATGTAGATGATATATGCTCTTAGGCGCTGTCCTATTGTCATCGCTCGCGCGATGATGCGATGCGTCCGACGAAAATGATCGTGCGACGGTGCGTTTAAACATACTCATATCTGCGGAATGTCCTATTGAACATCGTGCGATTATGCGATGCAACTGAAGAAATCGCGCGTGCGGATTCATCGGACGATGAAATCACGTCGCATAATCGCGGCGGTGATAGCAATAGGACATTAGGACAGCGCCTTAGCTTGCTACATATTAAAGTTGTTCAAAACTACTATAAATCAATAGCACCCTACAGACTATAAACTATAAATTTCTAGCGCGCTATTAAATACGCTATGTTATAGCGCGCTATTTATAAGAAAGCGTGTAGCAGGCAGGTAAGCGCGTTAAGTTTTACAGCACGTTATATCTCTTATTACATTACATGTCGTTCATTGGATAGATCGCGTGCTATATAAGAACATTATTTCGTAATAAGTCGCATTTTAGACTAAAATAAAATGGTAAAGAAAAACCAATGCACGCGTTTTCATACTTTTCAGGCTCACTAATTTCTATAATCCTAAAAATATTTTTAAGTTATGTACTATTTAAAACAGAAATAATTTTACTTTTAGAATATAAATAAAATTAATTAATTTTTATTATAATTGAATTAAACATTATTTTAACCTTAATACAAATTACAAATCAAATAAAGGTGTATTTAAAAGTTTATTTATTGTATTTATAAAAATCAATTATTTACATACACTATTATGTACACTTTTGTATCTATATTTTATTTACATTGAAAATCATTAGTTAGGCTTCTTTTATCACAACTCTGTCATTTATAAATATACAGTATACACTAACTAAACGACGTCTAACATTAAATTAAGTCGCGCGCGATGAATAGCGCGCTACGAGATCAAATTTTCGTCACACGTCCTCTCCCAACAGCGCTGCTGCTAGAACTAATTGCCGCTAGATATTAATACTTGATAGCGCCAAAGCGCCATAGCGCAATAGAGCCATGGCGACTACTTACATAGTACGCACTATGTGTTATGAACAGATAGCGCGCTATAATATGGCGCTATGCGCTATATTAACCACCACTAATTCAAATTCCGCACTCCTACTTACATAACACGCGCTATGTGTTATGAACAGATAGCGCGCTATAATATGGCGCTATGCGCTATATTAACTACCATTACTACATATATTAAATTAGGGATGCTCGATGTTGCAGAAACAGCGATGATAACATCGATGTTTTTATCGATAGCTTAACATCGCTTTTCGATGTTTATTCCTTCGAGCATAGAAAATAGTCAAGTAGTTGCTAGGTGACAACCGACAACGACCATAGAATAACAAAGTGAAAGCAGTGATAACTGTAACATTAAACTTCACATTTGACGGTTACGTTTGACACACTATAATAATATTTTCTTAGGTGATCGATGCATTTAGTAATTCTGAATTATCCAAAATTTTAAACCTTTAATAGGAGATGCAAGATTTAGTTGATATAGATTTCGTAGGTTCGCGTCCCCAACAGGTTCATTGACATCGATTTTTCGATGTAAGACATGTGGCAACATCGATGTTTTAATTTTTAACATCCATCGAACATCCCTAACTTAAATTTATCTATGATGCTCATCTCTTTGTGTCAATTGATTTGCGTATATTTCATGGTGTGCTGAAAATTATAATCTTAATTATTTCGGTATTTTAATAATTATTAAGCTTTACAACTCTGCGCTCAATGTAATATTACATTTCGGGAACGTTTTCCAGGTGTGCTTTAAATTGTGTAATTGTTTTTAGAAATATCAGATCACGCAAACAGTGACGAAATGTCAAAAAAATTAGTGGATTCGTGCCAATGATCAAGAAGTTTTAGCAGATGTGAAAATTTGTTGTTTGTGCGATTTATTGAAACTGATGATATCTCAAACTTTTAGTGCAGTTTTGGATTCTTATCAGGGTTATTTTTGGGAAAAGTTCCCAGTTAAATTTATCTGTCCAGTTGGATGATTCTACAGTTTTGAAACAGCGAAGGTAAGATATTTTCTTTTGTTGCGTTATTGTCTCCGTCACGCGTACAACGACTTCCAACTGCAGAATAATTTTATAGATAGAATGTCATAAATTTTACAATATGTTTAGACGTTACTCGAATTTCTTAGGACATTTTGTTGATTTTGACAACTATATAAATATAAATATTAAAACATTAAAGATGTGGAAGCTTATAAACTAAGAAAAATAAATAAAGATAAACTAAAGGCATGAAACATAGCTTGGTAAATAGCCAGTATTTTACATAAAAATGCTTACTACATTTATAATATTTAACTTTTCTGGCTATGAGTTCATCAGGGTTGTTTCCACCCTCTTGGCTGTTTAATAGCTACTGCGGCTAATATTTCCAATAAGGACCATCAATTTCAAAGCCCATATTTTTTTTGTAGTTAGTATTCACTAAAAGAAAGCGTTTTGCAAAGTTTTAGGTTGCAGAAACTTACGGTTCATGAGTAATATATATTTTCTTCTTTTTCATCTTTCCCTTCCGCCCCCTCTTTTTATAATTTTTTTTTTTTTATCACAAAGAAGACCCCCTTTCTTTTTTCCCTTTTTCCCCCAAAAAAAAAAAAAGAAAAAATAAAAAAAAAATATAAAAAAAAAAAAACTTCTTAATTATACTAAAGAATTCAATTCAGTTCAAAGGTGGAGGTATTCAATTCAATTCAAAAAAGTTTTTTATATGTGTTACCTCATAACTTTTCTCTGAGAGAACCGATGTTGATGATTCTTTTTTTATCTGAAAGCTTGTGCTTCTCGTGTGGTCCTATATAAATTTAATCAAGATCTGACCAGTAGTTTTTGAGTTATTTTTAATAATGCATATTTAATTGACTTTGCATACATTGATTTGGTCATATTGAAGTCGGTTGTACAAAATTTTAAATTTTACTTGTTTGCTATTCTGGTTGTGTACATTAGGTCTTAATTATAAAAAATAGAAACAAGAACCCTGCAAGGGCACTGCAAATATAGGTAATTATTAATATTATTATTACATTGCATCATGGTTGCCTCTCTACTCCAGTCTTTCTCAAAGTGGGCAATAACACCCCTTGTGGGTGTAGGAGACGTAGAGGTGGGCGTTAAGGGGCCCAGACAAAATGGGGGAGTTAGCGTGATTTAGGGGAGCTATGGTTGATTTGTAATTTCATTCTTTAATTTACTAAAATTAAAACCTGCCTTCTACTCAATATCAAATAATTAGTTTATATTTATGCTCTGTATGATGGTATACAAACTAGAAATACTTACCATAGATTTCATAGGATAGCCCATACGTCGTACGCAATCAAGTTGTAACAATTTTTTGTTAAATAATGCAATTGGTGCAATCAGGTTGCAATCGACTGGTTCATTGATACTTGTCTTAACTTGCTCAGTGTGATTGAGCGTTGAAAGAGATTTACAAGTTTGTGCGTGTTTGTCTCATTCCTGTTGGTGCATACCTCATTTAAATCCTATATAAAAGCTTGTTACTAATTAAAATTAAAATTTTCATAAGTGGTTTTGCGCACAATCTTAAAGCAAGTATTTAAGTTTAACACCTTATTAATATACTTGTAAAAACAAAGCCATGTCAGAAGCAAAAAGGAAGAGACAGAAATAGAGTGCAGAATATATTAAATATGTATTCATAGAAAATTTGACAAATCAATCTTTGCCTTTGTGCCTTCGGGTTGGGTTTACAATTCGGTTGCCTGAATTTAAAGATTCTGTCACTGTGGGGGGGTCAAGGATATTTATCTGAAGCACCCCCACTCGATTTTTGCTGCCGGAGCAGCATCAAAGTATTTTTTAATATCTTTTAAAAATATTGGTAAATGACTAATTAATTATGTTTTTGACGTTTCATCTGTCAATGTCATATCGACATATAGTATTGAAACGATCTAGTGAATTTATATTTCACCCTAGAGAATCGAGATCGAATTTTTTCTGTTTTATTAAGATTTGTAAAATTATTTAAAATTAGTTGAATGTACCCCAACTCGTAAAGAATGACAGTTTTTAATTCAACCATTCAATGTTATCTGTACTTTATTGTATCTTTTGATATTGTAAATATAAACTTTTAACGCAAATCAAAAAAATATTGATTTTTGCGAAATCGATTTTTTGTGAATCGATTCATCCAATTTCGATTTGAATCGATTTAAAAATGTGTAAAATTAATCGCTAGGCCGGCCATTTTGTTGACAGCTTTTCGTCATGCCGTTGCTTCAGAGTTTCATAATTTTGGTGAATAGTGGAATATTTGTTGCATTGGAATACTGCTAAATATTGCAAAGATCCTTTCTTACAAATAGTGGCAGCCATAAATTATGTTTGTAAATTAAAGTAGTTATAAAATTTAATATTTTGGTGTTATATTGGGTGCAATAGCGTAGCGAAGCGAGCCTAGTACGTGGGGCACCCCGACTCGGACAGGTTAGGTTAGAAGGGGATGACGGGGTCGAGTGAGCGAGCGAAGCGAGCGAATAGACCCCGTCATCCCCTTCATGGTTATTTTTTTGTAAACCACTCAGAAGCGGGGCTCCGTCGACTGGGCTTCCCTCGACTGCACCACGTTAAGTGGCGTGGGGCTTCCGTCCCCCAACTCTCTCTCCCCATAAATCAGGTTAAAATTGTCATAAAAATTACGAAACATAACCTCAAAATGAGATTTTTTAAAAATTTATAAAAAAAAAATCAAGCACGTCCGGCAGGAAGGGGATGTAGGGGGTGACTCTACAACTCTTCCCCCTTCCCTACACCACCGCCCACCCCTAATTCAGGCGACCAAATTGTAAACCTTACCCGTGCCTTCTTTGTTCAAAAACATTTTTAAACAAAGAAATGAAGACTTCAAGATCTATAAAATAAAAAATATATATAGACCAAAATTCATCCAGATAAGAAGGATAAAAATGTAGCCTATTTTCAAGACCTGGAAAAAAGCATAATGCTCAGCCAAGTGTATCAAAGCTTTTTTTGGTGACTGTTAAGCAAGACAATAACAGACTTTGAGCTTCATACAATATCTTTTTGTTAATTGCTCAAACAGGCAAACCACACACCATCGGACAAACATAAATTTTGAAATCAATAAAAGAAGTTATAACTACTGTGCTCCATAAACTGGCTGCAGACATAATTTGAAAAATTCCTTTGAGCAATAGTTCTGTGCAAATACGAATTTATGAAATAGCTGAAAACATTGAAGAGTCATCATGCAATCATTTGAAGACTAGTCAATTTTCAATTCAGTTGGATGAGTCCACTTTACCAACTAATGAAACATTGTGGCTGTCTTATGTGAGGTTTATTATAGTAGAAAAAATTTGTCAAGAACTACTATTTGCTAGAAATTTAGAGACAGACATAAAAGGAGGGACCATATTTAAAAAACTAGAAAAGTTTTGTGATGTAAAAGGAATTCCCTTGAAGAATATTATATCAGCTGCTACAGATGGTGCTCCAGTTATGACAGGGTGTCAAAAAGGCTTCAGCGTACTTAAAAAACAAAATTCCAGATGTGCTTGCTGTACATTGCGTTGTACATCAAAAACATTTGGTTGCTAGAAATTTAAGTGAACAACTGTTTCAATCATTGCAACATGTCATCAGAGCAGTCAATAAAATCTGAAACAACTCTTTAAATGACAGATTATTTAATCAGCTTTGTGTTACTAATGATGAAGATTTCAACCGATTGATCTTTCACACAGAAGTGTGTTGGCTATCAAAAGAAAATTGTCTGACTCGATTTTATTATATCTGTTTAACTCTGTCGTAGAGGTCTTGGAAACCAAAGACACAGAATTCATCGCATCAAAGAATAATATCGCATACTTGATAGACACCTGTTAAGACTAAGATGGAATGCATGTCTTCCAGTAAGAAAAGTCTCCGGATCTGTATACTCACCATACAAAACACAACAGCATTAAGCTGCTATTTTACACTAATATTCTGTGAGAGCATGATCCTTCCCTGGTCAAGCAGACCTATTTGTGCTACAACTATACTGCTAATATAGCTGCATCATGGCTCTTTTTTTATAAAAAACGTTACCCCCACACTGTAGGGGGTTCCTCTTATCAGTATCTGAAGATACAATTTTGCACCCTGAATAGTGATGTTTAATTGATCTGGACGCTGTGGCCAAGCAACTCACACTCTTGTAAAGTGTGCTTGGCCATCGCACACCCCACCTCATACTGCGTGTGGGTAAAAACTTATGTTTCTTGGTTGATAGTTTTTGTTTTGCTTTATATATTTTATGTGGAAATATTTCTTTACAAATAAATGAACATATAAGATAATGTCACAAGTGCTGGCTTAGAAGAATATTAAAAATAAAGGTACTACATGCAAAATATCTGATATGCAAGCTAATTTTTACTATCAAAAGTTTTTGTTTCATTGTGAACAATTGTAAATTTCAAACTATCCATTTAAATGAAGAACTTGTGCGATTTTTATGTTCCAAACATTAAGAACGTGGTAATTTATTTTCATTTATTATTAAAATAAAATGAGTAATTCATTTATTAATAAAATAATTGAGATCTACTAGAAATGACATTTCGCGTTTTGGTGGTTTGTCATACCCGACCTAGTACAGCGCAACGAGCAGTGGCGAAGCTAGGGCTCCAAACTAGGGCAAGCCCAAGATATGGTTTTGTTGTTTTTAGCAGTTTTATAAGAATACACCAATCTTGATCTATCTCCACTCATCAGTTTCATACTCAGTGCTGTCGAGGATGTGTTTAACAAAGCACACAGAAGGCATACTACTGCTAGATAGATTGTATGACATATCAGCAATTGCATACCTTCGGTGGCTTTGAAAAAAGCCGTTTGGAATTGCTTGAGCGAAAGAAAAAGATATTTACATACAATACAATACATGAACAAAAGAAAAGCATGAACAAAGTACAAACAAACTATGTACAACATTATAAAAACAAATTATTTATTTTCTAAATCGAATCATCTCTCTTTCTTAAGGAAAGATTTGATTACGTCCTCGTAAAATGTTATACCAATAACTGTCCAATTGCGATAATTCTCAACAAAGTTTAAAGATCTTACCTTTTCCGCACCGATCAGCACTTTAACACACGTCAATTCATCACAAGGAACACTATTATCCTTCATTTTCACTAATTTAAAAAAAAGCATAAATTTTCAACTCGCAATATTAATTCGCTCAAGCTAAACCCACAGAGTAAATAAACATTGAAATGTGAAGTGAACTTGCAAACGCATCGCCCACGCTTCACTTTCATCAACTTCATATCAATAGCCCGGCTTAACGCTCTATACTAAATTGCTATGTAAACAATTGTAGTTATACAGTATAGAAGGTCGATTATCCGAACGTCGATTAACCAAACGACCGCTTAACCGAACTATTACCTCGGCACTTGGAATGCGACCACCTTCTCGCTTCTCCACGCTTTGTCCCGTGTTGGCTTAAGTTCAGTACCGATAGCGCTGTACGCTTATGTGTTAATTTTGCACTATTAGTTCACAATTTAAAATGCCTAAACGTAAACGTGTTGTTCTTTCCATAAAAGATAAATACGAGATTAAGAAACGATTAGAGAAAGCCGAATCTGCAACTAAGTTTTCTAAGAAGTACAAAGTGGTTAAGTAAACATTTTCGGATGTAAAAACCAAAAGACGACCATATCCAATTTTATATTCAAACATGATTTTACCGATGGTTCGACAAGTCGTAAAACTATGAAGCTCGCTACGGACACCGATCTCGATGTTTACAAGTGATTTACAAAAACAAAATCACAAGGAGAACCTATCTATGATGCCGTTCTATGTGAAAAGGCAAAACATTAAATGAAAAACTTGGAGGGCCGTCGAACTTTCAAGCAACCACGTGAAGGCATTCGTGAGCTTCAAATACAAGGAGAAAGCTATCTGCTGGTTCTTCAGCAGCTGTTTCTTTCAAAATGAAATTAAGCGACGTATTAAAACAAGAAAATTATGTATTAGAAAACGTTTACAATACTCATGAAACTGAACTCAGTTGGAAGGCTTTGCCACGAAAAACTCTTGCCTCGCGTCGTGAATTAGCGGCACCTTGTGTAAAGTAAATAATCGTATCAATGCTCTAGCTTGTATTACAACTGTAATAGATTAAATTTATATTATAAATATGTTTTTATTAGTATATTGGTATATACAATAATACAGTTCGATTATCCGAACAAACCGGTTTTCCGAACACCTATGTCCCCCAATTAATTCGGATAATCGACGCTCTACTGTATTTCCATGAAGGTTAGAGAACAGGAGAACGATCGCCGTAGAAAATAGTGTCCCAGAAATATGGACACCATAAGTGAGGCGCTGCAATCGCTAAGTTCGGTCAATAAAAGTCGTTTTCAGTCTATTTTTCCGATCCGATGCTAAACCACTTGCACATCCACGCACAATAAAATATTTATCCATTTTTTAATGTTTCTTTTGTCAAAAATTACAAAATGACGGAGCATGAAAATTTTCTCATTAAAAATGAAATGATAATTTGTACATTATTCAACTAGCTTCATCTACTTGTACTCATAAACATCTAACTTCGCAGTCACTACTCACCGACGTCAGCGCCGCTATAAATTCTACAATTTTCAAAGACAGGCGGGCTATGCTTTAGTATGTAGTGATCGTTCAGTTCTCTAACCTTCATGTGTATTTCATTATAGAACATTTTGCCACAGGTTAGAAAGGGAGCGATCGTCTTTTCGAAAGCCCGCTAAAAAGCCCACGCGTGCGAGAGAGACGACTAATCGTTCAATTCAACTCCTTTTTTATGACAGCAGTATCGCTAAGGCTGGTAAGGCTACGAGGTCATAAACATGTGTAGAACATAGGAGCGCGCGGAAAATTTGAAATAGTTTGAATCTGTTTACGAGTTATTTTATTAAGAGACTTTTAGTCGCCTGTTACACGAAGGGATATTGATCCTTTTCTTTATTAAATAGATTATACTTTTTTATTATATGTACACTTCAGGAGCTTTTAATGTTACTTTTCTCCTCTCTATTCATCGGCTTGTAATCTTTCGAGGTCCACTCAAAAGGGTAAAAATAACGAAGTATGTCTGAGTATATGTAATCAAGCTATTATGTGGAAATTATTTTATTCTTTATGTCTTTGAAATAATTTTTTAAATATTTTTAAAATTTTTAAATATTTCGAAGACATGTTAAGTTCGCCTACACGTATTGGGGCAGCGCGGGGACACTTCCTTGCCCTAAACCCCTCTCAGAAATGAGGGGAGGCCTGTGCCCAGCTGTGGGACGCATATAGGCTGTATAAAAAAGGTCTTTGAAATTGGCTTTTATCAATGTGTAATTTTATATGTGAAAGAATTTTGTAATGCTTCCCAGACACCTTCAGGGACCACTAGTAGTGCACGCATCATTAGTTAAGAACCACCCTATAACCTTGGGGCTTCTGTGGGAGCGTTTCGCAGTTAAAGGTGCATTTTGCATACATTTTGTTTTAAGGGGATCACACTCAGGACCCTGTAATGTAAGGTTGTGTGTCTGTCTCGCACGTCGAATCCACTGCACGCTCGCCACTGAAGCATTGCCTTTTTTATAATAAGAAATTTTATACTTTGTTGTAAAGTTATCAGTGATGTAATTGCATATTTATTATTTATAACTGCACGCACCTACTATCCGCGCATTACGAATGATTGGTGACATACTTGCTCAGTACGATGATCTTGACTTATTTGCTTATGGATTGAGTACACTTATAAGTAAATTAAGAAATATTGTAATTGACATTTTATAAATTTTTGTTCTTGACATTGATTATTATAACTACTATTTTAATGATGTATACTATTTTGTTTGACTATTTTGGTCTTTTTTGTTTAATTAATTTGACTATTTTCGTTTTATTAATTTGATTATTTTCGTTTTATATTTTTTATTATTTTATTTGTTCTGCAATTATTTCAACTTAATTTTTTTATTTTAATTTTAATTTAATGTGATTTATTTGATAAAATTAATTATAACTTAAAATAGACAATTTTAACTTAATGTATCTAATGTTGCAAGTGTGTTGGATGCTATCATCTGTTAGCTTGTAGACATGTATCTTGTAAATAAATAAATAAACTGCGGAAGTTATCAGAAATAACTACAGAATTATTACTTTGAAGCATGCATAATTAATCACTCATAGTTAACTCTTATCCCATCAGAAATAATCAACTTACATTTTTATAAACAAGGAGCTTGTAGCTCTTTGAGCTACATGGCAGGTTAATTGCTGCTTCAGTTTACTGATCCGTTGGGCTATGCCAACTACTTTTATCCCAATCTACATTTATTAAGAGATATGTCCTTACCAACCGATTGATCTTCACAGAGCTTAACTACTGAGCTAGATACATGTAATTTAGATAATAGGTTGTTGGCATTAATACTAAATCAAGTGATTTGTTTTCAGTACGACGTACGTCTGGAGTATTTGAGATGAGCTCTCTACCGCCGGTGGAGTTGGAGGTGGAGGTCGTCGATGAGTCTATGGAAGACGACACCCCCGAAATGATACCCGCTGACAGGTAGCTTCATAACATTTTTTTTTATTTGATTTAACATGTAATAATAAGTGTCGAAGAAATTTTAAATTAATTTTTATTAGAGTGAAGTTTTTAGAGTATGATGACATGCAGATACCATAAACTATATCATATTTCCATTGTGGATTTATGCTCGCAACTTCTTTTCTTTTTCTTTGTCTTAGATCTTGAACTGCAAACACACTGTGATATACCGGACAGATTTTTCATACAACTGTTATATTTATATATAATTAGCTATCCGCCCCGGCTTTGCACGGGTGATTTCTGGATTTCGACAAAAGTGCCACCTCAAACGAGCACAAAAAATTTCATCATAATTAGTCGAAACGTTTTCGAGTTTTTTTTTGGTTTTGGTTACGGAAATCCATGTTGAGATGACATGTTACAAAAGTTTTGTTGTGTTTTTTAAAGCAGTACGGTAGTAGTAGTAGCAGTATAATTACAATAACAGTTCATTTCTTTACAAACACGAATTAAAATTTACAATATGAAAAATTATTATATTTTTGAAAATGGAACCCTGTACCATGAGATTGGAAAGCCTCTGCTACTTCATCGTGTTGTTGGTAGCTTTGTTACGAGCGGTACATTTTTTTAAAATTATGAATGTTTAAAATAATTTTTAATGAGGTTTTAACAAGGCGTATAAACGGAAGTAGGTCAGGCGTAATTAATTAAAATGTGAAACGAGCTCTAAAATGTTTCGATTAATGGCGAACCACTGAATTTATAAATAGGATACTGATTTTGCAATATATGAGTCCGCCCTCACAAAGCACGGTGGATTTCAGGATCTCGACAACAGCGCCATCTACCGGGTGCAGTTGTTAATCTAAACCATTCTCGAATCAACTCAATATCACACACACAAAATTTCATCAAAATCGGTCCTTTATATTTATAAAAATTACGCGTCACTTTGTTTGATTTCAATTAAATTTTGTATATGTGTATTTCTTGCTTTTTGTTGTTGCAAATTGAGAGATAGGATAGTTTTTATTACGATAAGTGACCCTCATTATTTTTTATTGCGAATTTAAGGATCTTTTAAAGGATAAAGGGTCGTCGAAAAGGGCAGAACAAAGTCTGCCTGGCCAGTTAGCATAAGGGAAGGTTGAAAAGTTTATACCGGAGAATGTTAACGGAGTATGAAGAAGGAGGGGGTTTGATATTAGATGCCTATATTTGTTTATCTATGATCACCAATTTTTCGGAAACGGCTAATCCATTTAAATGATTTTTTATTATATACTTCAAAACTTTTTGCTATGCTTCAGGGGTGGTTCTAAATTTGAAGAAGGCTAAAGGTTGGAAAATAGAGGGCAAAGATTTAATGACCTAGAATTTTTGACATTCCCTTATCCACTTAAAAGGGTCAAAAATAAACTTTTAATAAAAAATCTAAACTGGCTTTTAGAAGAATTTTTTTTATAGGATAGGGTGACAAACGAACACACAGTCCTGATGGTAAGTGGTTTCTGCGGACTATAGACGTATATATCTATCCTCTATTACAAATCAAAATGCAGATGCGTTGTCACCCGTGAGGACTAAGATGGAATGCCTCGTTTCCAGTAAAAGGGTCTCTGGTTCTCTACACTCACCATAGAACACACAGCAGCATTAAACTACTATTTTACGCTGATATTCTGTGAAAGCGTGGTCCTTCCCCGGTCGAGCCGACCCATTCGTGCTATAACTATACTACTAATATAACTGCAGCATGGCTCTATCACGTATAAAAAATAATAAAAAAGAAACAGTTAATAAATTAGTAAAATGTTAATTACTATTTGGTTTTTGGACTCGGTTTTTAAGTTTTTGAACATTATATTTACAATAAATATTATTGTGTATAGATAGAAATAGAATTTCGCTAATATCGACACTTCACTGAACCGGTACTTATTGTAATCAAAACTAAAGCGGGCTACATACGACATGATATCGGTGGCGATCTAGGGTGGAGTAGTGGGGATGCCTCCTAGATTGCCTCTAAATCGTGTCGTATGTAGGACCATCCTCAGTCGTGGCCGATATCGCCTCCTTAATCGCCTGGCAGGAGCAAAAATGCAGCCGATGCTTCCTAGATCGGGGCCCCGCCCCCTCCGTACTGCGTGTGTGTAGGCGCATCGGCCCGATTTCTTTTGGCAGTCGCAGTCGCTGCCGGCAGCCCTCGCGGAAGGACGTTAACGAAACAGTGATACTGAATGACCTTTTTTACATAACAAAATTTTTACATTTTAAACATGTGAACGGAGTAGAAGCCTATGATGTAGAAGCCTACTGATATTTTACAAAAAACAAAAAAAAAAATTGAATAAATAAATTAATTAAAATCTATCGAAATTCAAATCATATCCACCCTAGCCCGTGATCTGGCGACGTCAAGAAAACCTACTAAACTAACTGTTTTATTGCCGTTCAAAAAGTAGGGTGTATGAAGTAAGTAAGGAGAAGATAAAGCCTCAACAACTAACTCCTATTCCCACGCTATCAACACAAGACCGCACTCAGATCTCTTACGTGCCTTCATCCTCTCATCAACAACTAACTCCTACTCCTTCACCATTTCCACATCAACAAACAAGCTATATAAAAGGGAGTATGTCCGAAATTAAAGGTTTCTTTATGTTTAAAAAAAAAGATAAGCTATTTTATTTTTGATAGTTTTAATCCATAAATAAAAGATTACATTAAAAAAAAGTATACATATTATTATACAAAAGTATTTTATTTCTTTGTTTGTTGTGTGTAGTACATAACCCGATTTTGACCAAAGCAGAAATGAACAAACAGAAGAAATAACTAAATAGCATAGGTAGGAGTAATTGATGATTTTATATAAGTTGCGAAATCATAAATATAGAAAAATTCTAGAAGGTTGTAAAAACTGTCTTCATCCATCCGGAGAAAATTAACCATGTCTTTGGATTACAGACCATTTAGTACGTTTATGTGGCTTAATTTTTGTCTCTTTTGGAGCCATTTTTTCACCCAGCAACTCCTCTTTTTCTATTTTCGAATAAATTAACCAAGATGGCTAATTCCAAACCAACACGTTGGTGTTTTAAGAGAGTCGGAGGCATTTTGAAGAACTCTACCGCATAATGCGTTCCGCTCCAAGTCCAAACGCGTACTGCTAGGAAGGCCCGTGTGTAGGGTCTGCCTCGATAAAAGCCCCGATTTCTTTCCACCCTAGATCGCCACCGATATCGTCTCGTATGTAGCCCGCTTAAAGCAACAAAAACACGCATACGATTTACGCATCTCTCGATTTCATGTCTGTCGTCAGATATCTTTATAGCGCCTTAGCCACAGAATAGAGACGCCTTTGAGTTGGAATTTTGTGTAGTGTGAGAAAATTGTTTTGCCTTCCTAGTTCCTACGCCGCGCTGTTACGTATGATTTGTTTGACACTGATTGCATAGAAATTCTTGCTAAGAGAAAATGCCAATACTTTTCCCTATTTAACTTACCTCCTATTTTAATTTTCTCCAAATCCGGCATTCTCAAGCCATCAGCAATGTTAAAATAAAAAAGAAAATTTGTCGATTCGAATTCGCCATTCAAATGCTGTTATAAATTACATTTAGCTTCTTACGCAAGCATTGGAGTGGTTAAAAAGATTTTTTGAATACACAGGCCATCCGATGTGCCTCTTCAAATCAAAATTCAAATGTGTTTGCACCCCTGAGAACTAAGATGCATTGCCTCGTTACCAGAAATAAGGGTATCTGGTTTCCTACACTCACTATACGAAACACAGCACCATTATGATACTATTTCACGTTTGTATACTAGGCGAGCGTAGTCCAGCGTTAGCAACTTGAAGTGAGCCGACTATCACACCAGGAGCGTAGAATTATCGTACTTATCAAAATAATGTCTATCATAAACAAATGAAATTCGCTTGAACACTCGAAATTTTAGGCGCTAGCAGGACTCTAGGTATATCCTGCTAGCGCCTAAAAATCAAGAATCCAACGTTCTGTCGCATGAAATCGTATCTAATAATCATATTGAACATATAAATGATATAAAAAGCACATTGTCAGAAAGATAAATGATTGTTGAACTTATTATTTTTTTATAAATCGATTAATTGCTATTTTTACATTAAAAAAGTGGTTTTAGTGGCTTATGGTTGTAGATTTATCAAGTCCGAATGAAGAGGTAAACACGATAACTATTGATAATATCAATTGTTCAACCCAATCTATTTTTAATATCTTCATCTATCATATGGGAAGCCATGGAATGTAAATGGCTGTTTAATTTTGTTTTGTTTAGTTATATTTTTTCCCGAAACTCCGAAATTTTCGATGTTTGAGTAGCCTTGTAATAATATATTTTACTAAATACATTTTGACTCACTCTGGGCTCAGCCGTCGTCGTGAGTGGGTTACTGTATCGTTTGTTTACAGCGGCTCGTGATGTGAAATATCGATCGCTGTAGAAATACAAAATATTCCTAAAACCAAATTTCATACATACTTTACCAAGGTAAGATATTAATATTATTTTTATAATCACATACAATATATTCATACAATATATTGTTTCGCTAAAAGTACGTAAGACATACATAAATACATAAACACTCACGCCTGTCACCCAGAGGGGTAGGCAGAGACTACAGACTTCCATTTGGCACGATCCTGACACACCTCTCTCGCCTCCTTCACATCCATACACCTCCGCATACATGCTCGTCGGTTAAGGGTACTCCTAATTTGGCCCGTTTTCAATAAATCGCCAATTTGGTCGATAAATTTTCGCCTAGGACGTCCCTTTCCGACTCTGCCATTCACTTCTGCAACATAAATTTTCTTTGTCACTCTTTCCTCATTCATTCTTTCCACATGACCAAACCACCGAAGCATTCCTTTCTTAATCCTGGTCACAACATCATCTTGCAAACCACACTCTTCTCTTATTACACAATTTCTTACCCTGTCATTAAGATTCAGCCCTAA